TATACGCACGAGCTGCTGCGTGAGCCTTTCTGAGGCTTCACTAAGAGGAGGAAAATCCTCAGCCTGCAGCTGCTGCTGCTGCTGCTGCTGCTGTTGTTGCAGTTGCTGCTGCTGTTGCGGGGCCTCTGCCACCGCTGTCTCCTCTACCGCCTGCTGCTGCTGCTGCAGGCGAGCGTGCTGCAGCAGCAGCATCACCAGTTGTCGCCGCTGTTGCGCATCAAGCTTATCGTCCTCCTCCTGTGACAGTATAAGCTGCAGCAGCTGCATTTGCTGCTGTTGCTGCCGCTGCCGCTGCCGCTGCTGCTGCTGCTGCTGCTGCTGCCGCTGCTGCTGCTGCTCCTGCCGCTGCTGCTGCTGCTGCTGCTGCTGCTGCTGCTCCTGCTCGGGGGGCCAGTCGCCCCCCTGGACGAGCTGCGCCGTGTCTGGCGTCTCCATCAGCAACGGAGGAGTTGTCTTCTTCCTTTGCTTAGAAAGGTGAATCCTTATGCGCTTGGGCGGTGGTGGTGGTGCTGCTGCAGCTGCTGCTCCCGCTGCTGCTGCTGCTGCTGCTGCAGCTGCAGCTGAGGCGCAGGAAGCTGCTGCTGCTGCGCCTGTCTCGAGGCAACCCACGTCTACCCTGCCAGGAGACAGATTTTAGGGGCTTATAAAAGTAAATGAAGAGACAAAGAAAAGAGAGAAACAAAGAAATAGGGAGAAGGGGAGAAGAGAGGCTCAGAAGGCCTCCCGATGCGGCACGGCGTGCGCAGTGAGCGACGCAGCAGCAAAGCAGCAGCTGGAGCTGCAGCAGCAGCAAGAAGAGCAGCAGCAGCAGCAACAAAAAGGCAGCTCTACCTCTGCCTCGTGATTAATTTTTATAAAACAGAAACAACAATATAAATAAAAAACATAAAACAAATTAAAATTACTTTTTATAAAACTACTGCAGCAACTCAAACCCCCCCCCGTGTCCATCGCTCACCGCCGCAGCAGCGGCGAGACCGCCGGCTGCCGAGAGGCACAGATGTGTTTCAGGTGAAGTGCAGCAATGTAGAAACAATAAAAAAGATAAATTCATTAAAATACAGCAAAATAAACCCAAAAAACAAACCCAAATACAGAGACACACCACAAATAAAAACGACGCCGACCCCAGGTGTATAGACACCTGAAGGACCCGCGTCGCCCTGATCGCGCCGCTCACCAGGGGTGCTTGTTGCTGCTTTTCTTCTTTTTTTTATGCATCTTAATTTGTAAACACTTTTATTGACTTTATTTAACTTAATAAAACAGAGACGAGCACATTTTGCTGGCGAACGCTCCGAGCTGCAGCCCGGTGACCTGATCGGCTGTGCGTCGCTCCCTCAGCAGCAGCAGCGGCAGCAGCAGCAGCAGCAGCAGCAGCAACAGGATGCAGCAACAGCTGCTGCAATAACACAGGTTAAAAAGAATGAAAAAATTCAATCAAGATGACTCGTTTTTCTCTAGGTACCGCCCCATACGCCGCTGCTGCTGCTGCCGCCTGCTGCTGCTGCTGCTGCAGTTGGTGCTGCCGAGGGCATCGCTCACGCTGCTGCTGGCCCCCTCTCTGATTTGTTTTCTGTGGGTGTTTGTCTCTATATATACTAGAAAGGGGTTTTCTTAGCTTGAGTATATTTCTTTAAGACCAACAGCAAAACCCCAACGAGCATAAACCCTAGACAAACCCCACCGCCCGTCTATGCGGGAGCACGATCCCCGAGAGGAGGCTACGTCTCTGTGTGCTTGCGCGCGGGATGCCTCATAAGGGTCAATACATTCTTCAGCAACCCTCTATAGTGCTGCTGCATGCAGAAAAGGGGGCTTGGTTGTGCTTGCATGCGGGGGTGCCCCGTATCACCCCCGGCACCCAGGGGCATTGGGACTCTTCCCGCGCCGTCCGCTCTCCCCCCGTTCTAGGCCCTTCGGCCGGTGTTTTCAGCCTGAGCGGGCACGAGAGAGAAGGTTAGTTGCTATTTAGAAAAGTTTATGTATTTTGCCTCTTTTGCTGCTGGCGACGAGCCCCGGGTAAGACCGCAGACTCTGTTGTTAGTGTTGGTAGCACCGCATATTCCACCGGGGCAGCTGCGAGCATCGATCCCCACGAGTACAGCAGAGTTTTCTGCTGCATAGTAATGATTCATAGAGTTTATATTCAAAGGAAAATATCCTCAAACATTTGTATAACATCTTTGTCACGAACTCAGCCCCCTCCACCTCTCGCCAGATGGAGATATTTCAGGGGCTGCCCTTCGGTTGAGAAGTCAGCGATGGCTGAGAAACTTAATATGTTGAAACAAGCATAGTACCTGCTTGGTACCAGGCCTACTCACCAAAAAAAATTTATAAAAAAGGCCGCTTCCACCTCTATCGAGCTTACAGTTATGCAGAGGCTGAGGAGGAGTTCCCTTCAGCTCTCTTGGCTTATACCCCCCCGAGATGTTACAGCTTATATCGAAACTTTTTTTTATTAGAAGGAGATTCACGACGATGACGGTTGGGTTTAAGCAAGTGTACTTCTTCTCCAGAGCAAATCCAGAGTATGGGAGCGGTACAGTGTATATAGGCAAGGGAGCTAGATACGGCAGAAGTAAGGAGCGATGAACAAGGGAAGGGGCTGGTAGCCCGATACAGCGAGAAGTATGAGCTCTTGAGATAGCCAAAGATCGGCTGGGCAGCGGAGAGGGAACTGAGAAGTGAAGCGGTTGAGCTCAGCGAGCTGATAGTGTACTGGCGCACCCAACAGAGAAAAGATGCCGCCTCCACCGCCCCAGCTACGAAGAAACAAAACGGGTTTGCAAATGACCCACATATAAAAACTATGGATAGGGGGGCTGCGAATGCCATCCCTGTACAGAAAAGGATAAGAACCGGTAGCCGAGAGCAGCCGGAAATTTTGGCACCAAAAAAGTTGGGAGGAAGTAGCGAGGGGGGCATCTGCCTCTTTTTCACTTACCACAGCCACCTACTTCGATATTATAGATTGATGAAAAGAGAGAGAGAGAACAAAAAAAAAAGTAAACTTAGAGTGGCGCCGCTGGCGGAACAGAGAAAGTGAAAAGGGGAGCGCCCTGGGCCCAAAGAAATGCTCGTCCCAGCGGGGACCATCGAGACAGCCACATCTGTACGTCCACGTCGGGGGAAGCTTCCGCTTCTCCGAGTCCGTATGCATGCATCCTCAGGCTTTGCTAGCACCGCTGTGAAGGGGGTCCTATATCTGAAGCTACGGCGAGGAGATGCAACCTATCCATATACATATATTCGGTGGCGCAGTCTATGATGACTAGGCTTCGCCGGCGGCCGAGAGGAGAGGGGAACGAGCAAAAGTGTGGGTGTAAGTGCTGCCTCAATTCAGAAGTGGGCTATATAGTAAGAACTCTTTGAATCCTCAGGCTGTGGTGTGGCGAGGTACAGAACGAAGGCAGAGGGAGAAAGAGAAGCAGATGTAAGACAAAGAGAAGACACTGGTAGTACACACACCATTACTAATTTCGTTTCATCCTTCTCTGCTGCATCACCTCTTCTTCTTTCAGGGTCTCCAGAGGGCTCTCTCCCTGCAACAGAGGCAGCGGAATCAAATGCAGCCTGAGCCTGACCCTCTCTTCCCCGCTCCTTTGCTTGGCAACCACTTACACGAGGACATCTGCTGCTCGGCTGAGAAAGGGGGGCAGTTACAGCCTGAGTCGGCATGCGTGCCCTTAGTTGCATGCAGGCCGCCCCCCAACAGCCAATGCTATGTATCTATGCGCTTGCATGTGGGGCTGCATCGGAGCCCCAGTTGAAGCACAGTGCATTGCAGCTCGTGTCAGGCCGTCTCCTCCCCCGGACCCAGGCCCCCTTCGTCACCCAGCTCCGCCCGCCTGGAGACAGGAGAGGAGATCAGCTGACGACGGCAGCGCACGATGAAACTTCAATACGATCGAGTACTCTCCCTATAGACTCGCTTGCAGTTATATATATATATATATATATATATATATATATATATATATATATATATATATATATATATATATATAAATTGTTTTTTTTTTTTTAATATGAGGTCTTCGGGTGTATATACACGTATGTTCTAGTGGCCTGCAACATATAGTACAAACTGCGCCTTTTTCTAATAAATATAAACACTTCTGTTTATTATAAAAAGGGAGAGATGCAGTTTATATCATTTGTTTGCTCGTCTATATATTTCTTTCTGTGTCTTGTATTTTTGTGCCTCCTTTCAGTATATTTTTCTTTATCTGTCCCTGTCCTTTATCCTTTTCTCTTTCTGCACTAACTCTTTATTTTTTTCTCACTTTTTTTTTTGCTTTATTTTTTTCTGTTTCTTCTGGTGCGGCTCTCACCCATTGAGCGATGGGCCGTCAGGCTATGTGGCGGCGGTGGTGGGTATTTGGTTACCTTCTCTGATTAAATATATAAAAATATACAAATTAAAACAAAAAAATAAACAAAAATGCAGAGAAAAAGAACAAAATACACCCGAAGGAGCTGCCTATACACCCCAGCAACAGCCCCACCGGCGGCGCTCAGCGCGGCTGCTACATACGGGTGCATCAACACAAAAGAAGAACGACAAAATAGATAAATAAAATACGTTTAAATAATTAAATTTATATATTAAAATACCCCAAACAATACAACAAAACTACAGGCCGTGCGTGTTTACTTTCCCTGGGTTTGTGTGTTTTCTCTCGGTTGAGGTGTACAGACAGCTCGTGCTCTTGCTGTTGCTGCTTCTTCCTCTGGCTCATCGAATCCGTATATTTTCTTCATTGCAACATTTGCATTCACTTCCGCTTGGCGATGTAACGACACCTGCAGTCGTGAAGCAGCAGCACCCACAGCAGCAGCAACTGCAGCAGCAGCAGCAGCAGCAGCAGCAGCAACAGCAGCAGCAGTGAAAGAAAGACACACCCAGCTCTCACCAACGCTTACCATGCTTAGCCAGGCCAACCGCTGCGCCTGCAGCAGATACCGGCGGGGGGCGCTAGCGCTGCAGCGTACCCTGCAGCAGCCGCTACAGCAGCAGCAGCAGCAACAGCAGCAGCAGCAAGTGCAGCAGCAGCAACAGCAACAGCAGCAGAAGGATCTAAAGGATCAGAGTGCTGTATGGCGCATATGTAGGCGTGTATCAGCAGCCTTCAATGCTGGCTATATACCCGCAACAACACCAGCAACAGCAGCAGCAACAGCAACAGCAGCAGCAGCAGCAGCAGCAGCATCAGGATGCTATGGTTTTGCATCCCGTTGCTGCTGCAGTGCGTGCTCTCGTTTCTTTTCTTCTTCTGCTGCTCCAGCATCTGAATCCCCCCATGCCTCCTCCTCATCACCATCAACAACAACAACAGCAGCAGCAGCAGCAGCAGCAGCAGCAGCAGCAGCAGCACGAGTTGCTGCTAGACCTGCATACCTAGACTACCAAGCAACCACACCCCTTGACCCCCGTGTCCTCGATAGTATGATGCCCTTTAATGTAGACTGCTACGGCAACCCGCACTCTTCTTCTCACCCACCGGGCTGGGAGGCAAAGAGAGAAGTAGAGAAAGCAAGGTATATATATTTATATATATATATATATATATATATATGTGTGTGTGTGTGTGTGTATATATATATATTTATTTCTTTTTGTTTTTTTTTCTTTGTTTTTGTTTGTTGGTTTGTTGTAGTTTACGCGCTGCTGCTGCTGATGCTGCTGATGCTGATGCTGCTGCTGCTGCTGCTGCTGGTGATACTCCTTATGGTGGTGATGCTGGTGCTGCTACCCCTATTACTACTACTACTGCTGCTGTTGCTGCTGCTGCTGTTGCTGCTGCTGCTGTTATTGCTGCTGCTGCTGCTGCTAGTGTTCCCGAGCGTTTGGTGTGTCTGTGCTTCGTGTGTGTGTTAGTTAGTGTTATATATGCATCTATAGCAGCACATATTATCATTTTATATTTTTTCTCTTGCTTCTGCTGCTGCTGTTGCTGCTGCTGCTGCTGCTGTTGCTGCTGCTGCTGCTGCTGCTGCTGCTGCTGCTGCAGAGAGGCTGTGGCCCGCGTCCTGGGCTTGCCCCCCTCGCGCAGCCGGGAGATTATATTTACTTCTGGGGCAACAGAAAGCAACAACTTGGCTATAAAGGGTTTGGTTAGGTTTGAGGAGCAGCAGCACGCACTGCGACAGAAGCAGCAGCAGCAGCAGCAGCAGCAGCAGGGGCAGCAGCAGCAGCAGCAGGGGCCTCGACGTGTGCGTAAGAGCCACATAATAACAAGCCAGATAGAACACAAGTGTGTGCTGCAGTGCTGCAGGCTGCTGCACCTTGAGTGGCTGTCTTCGGGGGGGGAGAGGGGAGCTGAGGTGACCTTCTTGCCTGTATCTAGTGAGGGTTTAGTTTCTGCTGCTAGCATAGCAGCAGCAGCAAAAGAGGAGACGTTATTAGTATCTATAATGTATGTAAATAACGAAGTAGGAGTAATACAAAATATAAAAGAGATAGGCGAAATATGTAAAAAAAAAAATATATTATTTCACACAGATGCAGCACAAGCATACGGTAAAATACCTATACATGTAGACGATATGCATATAGATCTTCTCTCTCTATCCGCACATAAAATATATGGGCCCAAGGGTGTTGGGGCCCTCTATGTAAGAAATAAAAAACCTAAAGTACGACTCGCACCTATCATTGATGGTGGGGGACAAGAACGAGGACTGCGCAGCGGTATGTACACTTTTT